GGCAACCAAGTGCAGTAACAATAGGGATTACCTGTACGATGTCTATCTCCCTCTTACTCTCTCTCTCTCTCTCCTACACTCTATGTTTCTCGCTCTCTTAATCTTTCCCTCTCTCTATCTCTTTTTTGCCATCGCTCTCTATCTATCTCACTCGCAATCTCTCTATATCAGTCAGTGTCTTTCTTGCCCTCTCTCTGTTACTCTCGCAATGTTCCTCTCACGCAAGCTCTCTTTCTCCCTCTCTCTCTCTCTCTCTCTCTCTTGATCTTTGTCTCTCTCAGTCTCTGTTTTTCTAGCTCTCTCTCTCTCTTTCGTTCTTTCACTCTAGCGTTCTCTCTCTTTCTCTCTCCCTTTTACTCACTCTTTGTCTATCTAACACACACTCTCTCTGTCATTCTCTGGTTCTATCACTCTATCTCAATCGCTTTTGGTTCTCCCTCTAGCTCTCTCTCACTATCCTCGTTGCTCTCGCTCTTGTGTATTTCTTGTTCTATCTCTCTCTCTCTCTCTACGTCTACCATTCTCTCTCTCTAGTGCTTATTCTTTCTCTGTCTCTCTCACTTTTCATGCCTCTCTCTCTCATTGTCACTCTCTTTCGCTCTAATCGTTCGTTATGCCAACTTAAATCTATATATCTCGATATTGGTTATGCAAAAAGTTTCGTTTTGTTTTTCGTAATAGACGTCATTGTGAGCATTTACATTTAACTGCATTAAAATAAAATGGTCTTTGATTGTTTTTTGATAGCTAATAAAAGTTTTGCATGTTTTTAAATTGCTAAAATTGCCATACGTCATTTTATTTATTTCATCGTTCAAAAAAATGAATCACTTTTTTCATAATTCAAGGAAAAATGTATATATATATATATATATATATATATATATATATATATATATATATATATATATGTATATATGTGTGTATGTATATATATATATATATATATATATATATATATATATATATATATATATATATATATATATATATATATATATATATATATATATATACACACACATATTTTCAGGCAAGAAACTAAGGCCCATTCAAGAACCTCTGCAATTTCATTGAAGTAAGTTTTTCATTTAAGGGAAAGAGAAATATTTTTTTTCTCTACAGGAGGAATGTTTTTAAATCAGTGACATAAGTAATTTTTTTCCTTTTAGAAAATAACGTATATTATCGAAAATAAGGAGTAGTTTAATTTAAATAAATATGGTATGGTTTGGTTTGTTTTATTTTACGGCATATCAACCTCAATGAGTTATTTAATGTCAATAAAAATAATTTCTGGTAATAATTTTCTTTCGCTGGTAATACTTTTTGCAAAAAGTGTATAGCTGGTAATATTTTTTCAAACATGTATAGCTATTAATATTTTTTAAATGTATTGCTGGTAATATTTTATTTACAAAGCATTTCTGGTATTAAAACCTATTTTTACACTTTCAGAGTTTTGCCCCCAGTTTGGGAGATAACTATTTAACCAAAGGTGGGACCTTAACAAGTGTTTCCATCCCGCGTCAGGGTAAACCTGGTAACACCAGCAATTAAGAGGTAATTCCACGCTCCTCAAAACCTCCTTGTTGGACGTAGTATATTGCCTTACCCAGGACGCGTATGTAGTTTGTCGTCAAACCCAGGACGGGAAATAAATATGGTATATTTGTTTAAATTTCAATACAAACAATTTCTTTTCATTTTAAGAGGGATATTTGCTAGCAATATTTACTTTTTTCAAAGAAAAAGAATAGTTTTCACTAAAGAAGAAATCTTTTTCTTAAGAATCATAGTTGATGATTTTAGGGTTTATCAACACTTTGCAGGTTATTTATGGGTTAATTAGTAAGACGTTTATCACTAAATCATTATCATCTCAAAAAATTCTTACAAGTTAATAAAATGTATTCTGGTTTTGCAGGATATATATACTTTTTAAATTGTAAGAATGATTTTAATGCCCATATCCATTTTTTTTTAAAGATAAATATATTTTTAGATACTAATTATTTTCTTTAAATAATAATAATTAATTGATAGATGTCTTACTAATTAACCCATAGCTGGGGGATAAGAGGTAGAATTATACTTTTACCCAGGGTATTTTATGGTCAGTTAATGGAACATGGTACATTATTACTATGTTATGATAGGCAGAACAAAGCATAATACCGTAACAAAAATATTAATAGTTCCAAACGAGGTTTTTATTGTTTCATGCAATACAAAGGCTAAACAAACTTTTAAAACCAAAAAGTAATATATAATTACTATGTTGGTTAGGTAGCTATGCAGTTACATATATATATATATATATATATATATATATATATATATATATATATATACCCAAGTATATGATTGATATTATCATCACTTGATAAGACATCGGAGGTGTTGAAACAAAATGGCTATTTTTGTAGTGATTTTAGAACATATTTATGTTATAATTTTTTAAATAAATAATTATATATATATATATATATATATATATATATATATATATATATATATATATGGAGAGAGATAGATGACAACGTGGTTGTTATTGGCGGGAAAAGAGGGGTTCTCGCATATGTCGTGTTTACTACAGGAAGATGTTCTTCGAAAGGCCATGGAAACCAATCATGTCAGCTGTTAGTCTATCACACTTACCTCGTAAAACCGACTTGCTTTTGGAACCACTATAGAGTCTAACATGGTTTACTTGTTGGTCTATTCTTCACACGAATACTAGAGCTACAACTGACTTAGTGGCAAACACATACATACTCATATATATATATATATATATATATATATATATAGAGGGAGAGAGAGAGAGAGATAGTGTCTGTGCGTGTTTGTGTACATATAAGAATAATAACAACAATTTGAGAATTTCATAATAGCCTTGAAGAAAACGTTAGGATTTGATGACATCAATAATTTCTGCGAAATATGGTCTCTCACTGCGTTATCATCCGTATAATGTATCATTATTGTCTAAAACCTTCTACCTATGGCAATAAATATCATGAGCATTTGTTTATTCCTCGCTTTGATTGCGTCTGTACGCACATTTGTACATATAACAAATTCATATCTATATACGTTTATCTATATACGTATATATATTAAGATATATGCATGAACACGCATATATATATATATATATATATATATATATATATATATATATATATATATATATATATATATGTATGTGTGTAGGTAGGTATATACTAAATGTTAGACTTTTTGTATGCACAAAACAATAACAAACATACACCCTCGCATATATATATATATATATATATATATATATATATATGAAAGTGGTAACCGAGAGTGTTTAGCTATAATTCCGTCCACTGACGCCCCGGAAACCAATCATGTCAGCTGTTTCATCTGGTCGCAGGACATTAAACGGAAACGCCCTCCCTTGCTTAATTCAATATGGCCGACACTTATGCGGGTCGCAAGATCATCCAACATCCATCGGAACGACTTTCAGTCGCGGACTAATTCAGTTAGGGCGGTCGCCCTCAACCTGCCACAGAAATGGAGCCGATGTAATTACACAGAAGCTGCAAAGTGGGCTCCCATCGGCCGAACTTCGGTTAATGTCCATACCGAACCGGATCGCAATGCAGTTGCTGACTCACTTTCCGCCTCGGCCGGTCGATATTTACGTCATTTAGGTATAGGTCGATTTTACAAATAAGAAAAGAAATCCTTGCTGTTTCTCTGGCTTTTCTTGTCGGCTTTATGCTTATTTATTTTCCTAAGACTTTACATAAACATGTCTTGTTTTCTAGCCATTCGTCCGACTGATAAAAATTATATTTTTACAATGAGATAAAAATGACTGTGAAAAAAACTACAGTGCTTTTCATTACATATGCAAGTCATTGCTGGGCACATCTCGATTCGACCAAGTTTCCATAGCTGGACAAATAACCTTTTTTTTTTTTTTTACTCATTTCACTTCGAGCAAGGCAATATAACGACTAAGATGCAAAGGGTTACTGTGACTCGGATAATATGAGAAAAAGAAAATATGATTAAGGAGATAGAACTATTTAAAAAAAGGTGGAATTAAGAAGGCAGAAGATAACGATTGTTATTACATTTTAATTTTTAAACATCATAATTGACTGGAGAGAAAGAAGACAGAAAAGAGTTTTATAAGTGAAAAGTGCGAGAGAAAAAAATCTGTTAGCATAGAATTTTCGGTCACGTCTAGTCCAATCTAGTACTGTGCTTAAATTCATAAATGCTACCTGCCAAAGTGCTTATCTGTTGTGGAGTTACTTCGCAGTGGAGGCTTGTATTTGTACTAAATCGCTCCTAAATAGTTCGATATACAAAACGTTAGGAACTTGATATAATAGGTATTACGCAGAGTAATCTTGTGGTCGCTGACTACTTTCGTATTCGACTAACTGTCGACTACTGTCGTTTGTCATCGACTCTATTTAGTAACTGCCCCACGCAGTCACATGTGGCACAAGGCCGAATTTAATGTGGGGTACCCGAGCGCGAAGGCTCGGCCAAAAAATCCCCGTAGACTCTGTATAAACGGGATCGGGTCTGTCTGCCTCCCCGGACGAAAAAAAAAAACTACGAAAATATTTATAAAAAAAAGGCACAGATCATCTACGCTATTGCAGTGGGAAATTGAATGATGCCGAGATGCCAGGTCAGGACTAACTATATTGCAGGTTCTTCTTTGTATTTCATCAAGTATCTCTAAATACATAACAGAAGCACCAGACCAGATATGACAGCAATATTCAATGAATCGACGGAAGATAGATTTTGTCGAGAAAAAAAAAATTGTCTAGCACGACACGGTGATGTAATTTTCTTCACATCTTTTTTCTTCTGTGTTCTGTATACCTCGCTTAGGAGGTTGGCGATATACACCTACATATCACTTGCATCTCTTAGCAATGTTTGTCATTTTACTATCTCCTGATGTCTTTGTTCCGCTATTCATTTACAGGAACGCATTTTTTAGATTACTCCCTGCTTTCCTCTATCCCTAAGTCATGCGAGTATCAAATTTTCCAGGCCTTCTTTTCTCACCATGATTGTCAGCTTTATGTATATTTCTACGTTTTGTTTCCATTTTCCTTTAAACTTCCTCGTTGCTTACACCCTCCGTCTATATTATTCTCAATTTCCTTCTGCGGAATGACGTTTCTGTTCAGCTGCGATGAAATTGTCCAGAATTCACTGTCACATAAGAGGATTTATATCACATCAGTTCTA